TTTATTATTAAAAAATAAGTAAATAAATTTTTTTATAAATATGAATAAATTTCTGAATCTTTATGTCGCCAACTGTAGTAAATATGTGATATTGTAAATCAGAATTTTAAGTATTAAAATACTAATTTATATTGATGTTGATATCAGCGAGGTACATTAATTAGGAATAAAATCTGATATGTGTTGATAGGGATATCAACAGGGTATGATATCCCTAATTGATATATGCGGGGTAATTTATATATGAGGAAATCCGTTCTGTAACTGCTGTTGCTAATAGAGAGAGGTGGATATTAACGGGGTGGATATTAGAGAGGGTTCACTGTATATACATTTCACATTAATGTGTTATTATATAATTTTAAGTATATGTCGAGCTGCTAGTAAGTCAGGGTATTAAAAATCGGGATTTTAAAAATGTCGGGATATTGGGAAGTTGGTATTTTGGAAAGATCAGGATTTTAGCATGCAAAATATTGGGCGTTTGGGATTTTGCATGTCGGATGTTGGATGTCGGGATTTTGATTTTTGATGGCACTCATACAGTATATATATATATATTATTCTTTTTTTAATAATATAAAGATGAGACGGTATTATAATGAATGTATAGCTGAATCAGTAAAATCAACATAAATTAAAAAGCCATCTTATGAAACGGTTGTAAGTTGGGTTAACGCTTCATGGAATGCAGTTGATATTGGATTGATTCAACGTGCGTTTAAAATTTGTGGTATTTCTAATAATCGAAGATAAGTTAATATTTGACTACAATAGTCTTGAAATATCAAATCAGATAAGCAATAATGTATAAATATTGGAAGATGATAGTGAAATTATAAAAGAAATCGATCTTAATGATAATACCGAGGATAATTATTATAATGAACAGGAAATGAATTATCCAAATGTATGGGATGATTAAAGGAATAAAAAAAAGTTTCCTATTGTTAGTTAGTATTTATCAATCAAAAGCTTGTCTTCTGAAACGTGAATTTAAAGAGCGCTCTGAAAAATAACGTTTTTAGTAACATAAATCGTGATGTAAGCTAATGAGGCGTATTACGTATTCACCTGTGATTGGTCAGGATTAGTACTGGGATACTATTCAACAATATCTCAAGTCGATAAAACAAACGTCAAGAAATATGTTAATGATTTTCTTTCAGTAATGAATTAATATTAATTAAATTGCTTAGTAACAATAATTTTTCCTGAAACGATAAAAATTCTCACGTAGTGACCAGATTACATGTGACTGATTACATAATATATACATATTTTTCAACTTAATCCTAATACAGTCTGGTTAACGTTACGTAAAGAAATGATCAGCACGTTAATTTTACACTTTCTGCTATTCCGAGGGCGTGATTATATGGAGGGATGAACTAATATTTATTATTCTTTCAATAGATCAATTTATCTTTATTGTTCCCTTATCTCATCATATTATAACGTAATCAGTTTTTAACAAGCTAGATTTTTTTAAATCTCAAAGTATTTTATCAATGGAATCTATAAAGAGAATATTTGATGGCACTATGTAACCAACTTCTTGTAAAGTTTTATTGACTTTAATATATATAGAAAATGATGAATGAGCTTAGAAAATAATAATGAGCTAGTCCATAATAAAAATTTTTTAATTTTTTTAGCTGTCGATCACGAAATATATAGGTTGATTATTTTTGACGTTTTTTGTGTTACATATTTAAGACTAACACAAACGCAATTAACGTTAAATAGATACAAACGCAATTAAATAGATATTTTTTCGTTGATCTGTTTTTTTCGCAATGTGCCATACTACACCGGAACAAAGGGCAGATGTCGTTATTCAACAGGATAACGACCCCAAACATACCCCATTGAAACCCGTCAATGGGTTCGTTATAACGAAGTTGATGTTCTCGATTGGCCGCCGCAATCTCCGGATCTCAATCCCATTGAACACCTACGGAATATCATCGATCGTCGTTTACGCCATCTTCCGGGTTCGATTTCGGGAGAAAATTCAGGACGTGTGGAACGATATTGATGTCGAGCCATGTGTCTGTCTCGGAATCTATGCCGAAAAGAATTGCCGATGTAATAAAGGCCCGCGGTGGCTATACAAGATGGTAATCTAAATTGAAAAATAGTTTTAAAAAAAATTAGAATTTTGGCGGTTATTTACCGATTTTTTTTATTTTGTTCAAAAAAAAACAAATATAATACAACACCAAAAAATTGAATATATTTGGTGGTTACAAAAAATTTAACTAAATAAAATTATTTGAATTGGTAACATTTTAAACTATAAGATTGTATCATTTAATCATACTAATAATGATCGTGATGCTTTTAATTGTAGGGCGATATATTTATTTGAAAATTTTCATTCGAATGTTGCATTATTTTTGATCAATGAACTGATTACGCCGCCGTTAATCAGGATGTGTAAGCGCATCATGACTCGGTAGATTGATAGAATTTAATGTATTAGTTTCTGGAAAATAAGCTACGGATCTAATTTAAATAAATATTAGAAAATTATATTATAAATATATTATAGCATCTGGCAATATAAAACAAAAATCATACGTATTCTTCCAAAAGTATAATATAGAACCTGATAGCGATAGTTACACCCGTAAATCGGGCGTTGCTTTTTTGTGACGATGCCTTACATGGTCTAAAATAATTAATATAAAAGTAATAAATATACATGGTTTTCGTTTTTAAGAAACTCGATAATTCATGTTTATTCTTAAAATGACTCATCACAGTTTCAAATACGAATTTTTAACAAATAATGAATTGCAAATTTTACAAAAATACTCTTACCAGTTAACTCTATCGGTTGACAAATTAACAAAACCAGCCGTAAAAAAATGCCTTAATTTTAAAGCTCCGCCAAGACCACAAAACAGCTGGATCATTTTTCGAAGAGATTATGAAGCATATTTACGTTCATTTAATCAGCACGTCAAAAAAGAAGTCAAGCATACGGCTTCAGAATGTCGTCTGAAGTGGAAACAGATGTCAAATGAGGTCAAGCATTTTTTCAAAATATTAGAGAAAATAGCTTGTGAGAATCATAAAAGTATATATCCCAATTACAAGTATAAACCGAAAAAATTGAGAAGTTCGAATTGCAGACAATTTATTTTTTGCGAACAAAAATTTACTTCGTCACCTAAACCTAACTCAATTGGTATTAAGTCATCGTCGTCCTCATTAACGAATCAAGTTATAAATGATTCCATTTCGACAACCATCAATACTAATTCCAATGGTGATGAGGTCGAGACATCAAACATAGATTCGACAACCAACAATACTCTTCTTCTTCCTATGATCAATATTAATTCTTCAACTCACTTTTCTACACCCAACGAGGAAGCTTCCTTATTGATTGACAATGATGAAGTTGACAATATTAATCATGTATCCGATGATATGAGTACCATTAATGTTAGAAATAGAACTAATTTAACAGATTTCCAATCATATTACTATAATATCATTTCGACAGATGATACTTTACCTCTTATCATCGATGTGAATTCTTCAACTCGTCCTTCTACGATCAACGAGGAAGCAACTTTATTGATAGACAATGATGAGATTGATGATAACCTATCAAAAATAATGTCAAACCGTTATCGTAATGTATTTGAGGATACGAATGATTGGAAATATTAACGTTAACAATCGTACCCGCTACGATCTTCGACAACTATCGATACTTTTTCACCTATCACCGATGCTAATTTACCGATTTTACACTTTATCAACAACGATAATACTTCTTTGTTGATTAAAATTAGTAACATGGCAAGCTACATGTATTATGCATCCGACGACATGAAGTCAGAAATAGAAATAAGAAAACTTTTAACCACACCAGCTTGGATCGTTTCGATAACCATCAATAACCACCTCATAAGGATGTAACAGAAAATGAAGATAATACCAGCACACTAACAAATTTCCTGATAATATCGTCTACCATTATAATAATTATGATAAAGATACGATGTTAACATAACCCAGTTATCCACCAAAACCATTATTAATGCAAGAATATACTTCCTTCATATACAGGCCCTTGTCGGCAATTCGTTTCTAATAACTTATTTTCCGTAAATTTTATTTGATGCGATGTAATTATAAAAAATTGATACATTTATTTTCTCTTCTTAACATCGAACCTCTTTCCTTGTATTTATAATATTTCACGCGTAATTTAGTTCCTTTCGACTATTCTGACAAATTCCTCGTAAATAATACTTCGATTTTATTATATTTGTGCGAATTCCACTAGCTTGTTGATTTATTTGATCCATTCCTCGTTTATTTTATTAGTTGTTCTGTTTTGGTTTGTTTTTTCGTTCTGTTATTTGTTTTGTTGCATGTACATATATGAAATGCATGCACACACTTATTTAAATGAACTATCATTTTTCAGATGGTTCAAAATTGTAGAGGTTTTAACTGTATGTCATCAGAGTTGGAATTCGGACAATGAAAATTTGTCCAATACTTAGTGCCCAAATTGTCCGATCAAAAGCAATGGACTATATTAATGTTCTTTGAATATCGAAATAGCCCGATTTGTTACTGGTATCAAAATCATTAGAAATGGATCCGAACAGTTCGGTTCTAGAGGGATCCGGTTCTAAAAAAAACCGAATCGAACCGAATCGAAAATTTTGGTTCGGTTCCGAACCGAAATACATGTATAATGCAAAATGTGAAATCTTTTTTAACGGTCAGGAATAATGTCAATAATTTTGCAAGTGTTTCGGTAAAGATCTACAAGCTATAATATATTAGAAGAATGATAATGAAATATTAACGTTAAACTTTTAATCACCTAATTGAATTAGAATTTCTTTTTAAAATAGACATGTCTTGATATTTTCTATCCTA